GAATCTGAGGACATGTAAAGCACCCAATATGCTATCAAATGCAAATAATCAGGAAAATGCTTCTTTGTTCCAAAATACATTTGTAGCAAAATTTGCCTGCAAACAGCCCATTGAGGACTCAGACCCATGGCAAGGATAGAAGGGCCAAATTAATGTGTTTGTTGTTTATATGTTTCATCCTGGCAATTAGCAAATAATCAGGAAAATGCTTCTTTGTTCCAAAATACATTTGTAGCAAAATTTGCCTGCAAACAGCCCATTGAGGACTCAGACCCATGGCAAGGATAGAAGGGCCAAATTAATGTGTTTGTTGTTTATATGTTTCATCCTGGCAATTATGGAATTCTTCTTACATTTTTTACTGGCAACAAGCAGCAAAGGTTCAAAGCTTAATAGAGGTTGTTTTGCCTTTGCTTCTCTGATGGCTCAAAACTTGACAGTGCTTGGCAGAAATCAATCAACCAATCAATTGATTGAGCAATACAGAAATAAGGGCACTGAAACTCCAAACCCAACTGAGATGTGTGAAGAAAAATATATGCATTGCATTCCATTGACTATACTATTGACAGATCTTCTGTTGTAGATGCTAAAAATAAAGGTAGTCCGTGGGTTAAGAACGCCCGGTTTACAGACAACCCATAGTTAAGAACAGAGCCTACTGTAGCAAAATTCAAGTTCAATACCCAATGATTCGAGTTCATTACACAAAACTACTTATACAATATTTTACGATAATACTGTTCCAATTTCCATACAAATTCGACTTAAGGACAGACCTTGGGAACAACACTTGTTCTTAAGCTGGGGACTGCCTGTATTTGGAAAACCTTGTGTGAACAAGTATGAATGCATAACATTCCTTGGGAGATGATAAGATTTAGGTGTGCACAGTCAGACCATATTCTTCTGTTTTTTTAATGAAGTATGCCTCATTTTGTGGTCTGCCCACTGGATACATTTATTTCCATCTGTTGGTTCTCTCCAGTTCAATTTGCTAGATTTCTGTGGTTGAAGTCAACCCAGTGTGTGTTCTTTCTGCGGTCTGCCTTCAGTGATTTTTTCCCCCTTTCTGATTTCTCTTTTCCTGTCAGTTTTGGACAGCTTGTTGGAAGATGATAAGTGGGTAGACTTAATTATGATAATGTGTGGGAGACAGAAACAGAAAAAGATACGTTGATATTTTTTTCAGTGCAGAGAGATCAAAACTGAACAGCCAGCAGCAGAAAGAAACATAAGAAATGCTGTTCTAAAAATATTGGCTGTAAATATTTGAATTGCAAAGTCATCTTTTGGATGGAGGACACTATCACGAGCAAATTGACACGCTTGGATTCTTTCTGCTGTTATGTCTTGTTTTATTTTTTAAAATTCCACAACATAGTTTTTGTCATAGCCTTCAAATTAAAATTAATGGAATAGCTAAATGTGGTTGTGAGCTTCTGAACAGGCTTGAGAAGATGAAAGTGGACAACCTAGCATTGATGAGCCTCCTTGGTGGGTGAACCACAAATTACCAAATCCTAGTATAGCCCAGCTTAGAGAATTTTACCCCTCAATCTAACAGTAATAGTTAAAAAAGAACGACAGAAGAGGATTGGAAGAAGCCAATCAATCAGGTTCTCCATCCAAAGTCCAAGTAAATTGGACAGATTTTGGGCTGGCACCAGGCAGGTGTGTTGGGGAAGGAGTTCCAGAGATAAGCCTAAGCCACAGAAGTCTCCAGGGATGATCCAAGTGGCCAGTGCAGGTCTCACTGGAACAGGTGGGTATATCAGATATTCTGATGCCGGCCTGCAGTAAAACTTCAGGATTAAACAAACTGTCTCATTGGGTATATGCATGAGAACAGCATAAGACTCCTGTGATAGAGGTGGGAAACCTGGATAGTCAGGAACTGTAGTTTGGGAAGATGCAGGGGTCTCCACAGACAGGCCCTGCCCTGCAGTGACATCACTGCTCAAGCCCTTCTTTTATGTGCCTGTGTTATGATGCTGTTGTAGGGTAGTATTTGCATAGTGATGTTGCATGTGCTCAGATGTTACAAATGCACATCTGGTTCCCTGCTTGCTGGCAAAAAACAGACCAGTCAGGTCAGCTGGTTTGTTTTCTGCTGGCAATTGCCAATTATCCTTTGAGAGCAGACTGGCTTCAGTCTGTGACTGCTGGTCTGTTTTTTGCTGGCAAGGAATAATTAAAGGTTTTTGTTGTATTGTGTTGTATTGTGTTTTTTCCCCCCTGCCTTCTGCTTAGATTTCTTTTCTATCTTCTGGGAATCATGTCAGTTGACTTCACAGGCAGTAGTCAGACACCCCTAAGAGCGTAACGATGGAGAGATGGTGGGGCTGCTTTGTATTTAATACAGGATTTCTCTGTGTTATTTATTTCTTTTGCTAATTTGGGGAAAAGTGGGTTTTTTTCCCTTCTATTTTTAAAATTATGGTCAATTGTAGTGCTTACACAACAACTTTCATGCACTTTCTAACTCTAAACAGCTGATTTTTGGCAATTTATTATGGGGGGGGGGTCCAAAGGGCTGTAAGTAAGTAGTTCATGTGCTATATTTGCTGCTGGAATTTCATGTTGCTCATCCATGCAAATGTGAAAGGCAGTAAATTGCAGGGTTTTAGTATGGATCTCATTTCAAAGTCACTGCTAGAACACCCTTCCTTGGTGCTTGATTTGGCCAAGAAAATGATGGACGGATGTCCTGTGGGACAGATGTGGGAGAAGTTGAAAGAGAAGGAGGCACGCGAGCAGAATAGAATGGCTGTCATTCTAACCCAAGGATACTTTGCTAACACAGCTCCTGGGTGGATCCTGTCTTACTGTGTGAATGGAGATAGGTCAGGCATAAGTGTGTCCTTCACATATATCCTCCCAGAGTATATCCATCAAGGCATTTCTGAGAAATATGTTTCTTCAAGAAGTCTACCAGGAGCTATATTGCTGAAGGGAAGAGAGAGTGTTCAGTTTCCTGTTGAAGGCATTGAGGCCATCAGAGGTTTTAAAGAAAGAAAATCTATCTATCTATCTATCTATCTATCTATCTATCTATCTATCTATCTATCTATCTATCAGATAGATAGATAGATAGATAGATAGATAGATAGATAGATAGATAGATAGAGATAGATAGATAGATAGATAGATAGATAGAT